TCCTTTCCTTGCATTCCCCCCTTACACACTCACACAGATTTATGTGCAGGCATCCCCGAAGGCACGGCGGTGCTGAACCAATCCGCTGTTGTTGACTTGTACCTCTGCCAACTCTCGCTATGAAGACATCTGATCAGCCAAACGGTCGAATACCTGAGCTACACTCCCGTGCTAACGCCGCACGCAGCACTGAGCGCGAGTCCGTTCGCCGTCTGCTCAGAGTAGAAGCTGCAACACAAAGCGGCCAAATTTGGTGTCAGTGTGTATCGTGTATCCAGGCCCTGATTTCACAGTGCAGGGAGAAGCTACAGGTTCAAGAAATTTCACAGAAAAACAGAAAAAAAACACCTGTTCAGCATGAGAACGCATGCTGGGATTGTTAGAAAAATCAAGCTTCTCTACAAAAGATGTGACAAAATATTCAAGCTACCCGAGAGATGTTTAAAAAAAGAAACTTTTTGAATAGATAAGAGCTGCAAACCAGGTTCTGCTGCTACCAGATGAAACCCAAACTCAGTTTTGACAGCACTGTGAAGGGATTTCAACTTTACTTTTTTCTTTTTTGTAATTTGGCAGGAAAAAAGGCACATTAATGGACACCAGTATACCAAAAATATGAAATGCAAACATGCCAGATTATAGCAGAACTGCTAATTTACATGTGTAGTCCCGTTTTACTGCCTTCATGCTAACGTGGCAAATCTCCAGGTGGCCCTCAGGACATTTCCTGGTATTTAAGTAAGTGAATTTTATTCATATAGCACATCTGAAACCAAAGCGCTTTACAACAGAAAAAAGGTATGTTTTCATCTTGAAGGCAGTCACAGCTGATGCTTGTCTGAGGTCAGTTTTGATCGCCTGATGGTGAAGACTGATTAGGAAGCAGCATATCCACCACATAATCAAGCTGTAAGTACAAAGAGTGACACTTTATAGCAGATTCCTTAATGCAAAGGAAATCCAGTGCAAGCTCTGACTACTTGTAAACGAGCAGGAGATGATTGACTGACTCCAGTATGCAGTGCGGTAACAGTAGTCCAGTCTACGCGTAACATAAGCATGCATAACCCTTTCCACATCTGATGGATTTAAAGAAAGATGTAACTCTTAAAGCAAACAAACTCTACTTAACCTCGGGTAGGGCTTTCCGTCTCTGCGACGCTTGGTTATGATTATGGTTGTGCTTGATAATAGTTCCAAAATTTGTATTCTTAATATCAGGCCAATCTAAAATCTAAAAGTACGGTTATTCTGAGCCCAAATGAGGGTTTCTTATCACGAGCACCATCTACTGTTAACCCAGTATTTGCTCTAGTTTGACACAGTTAAGCATTACACTTTTAAAGCTTAGATTTTAATGCTTACAGTTACTGAGTGCTTTTATCCCAAAATGAATGTGGCAAATGTAATCATGAATACACAGACGGTAAACCTTTGCACGTATTCATCTTAAACTTTACTGCTGTTTATTAGACATGATATGATCAACTAAAGTGCATTTCTCCTGTTTTTCCTTGTGTGAGAAAAACAGGTCAAACTGTTTGCAGTTAGTACAAGTACTTAAATCTATATATGTACTAACAAACAGAGTCAGAGTATCAGTAGTAGTAGTATTCCCAGTTTCCTAATTTTCTTGGATTGTGTCCTTTTTTCATGTTGCTAGGCTCCACTCTGATAACTAAAAATCACTCTCACTCTGATTGTAAACTTGTCTCCGATACAGTTTCCCTCCACGGCCTCAGTGTCTCATCCAGGGATCGATACTACCACACACCACAGCCCTTTACTCACACTCCAGTCTGGCAGTAAGGGATTGCAGGAAGCCCACGGGTCAATGGCCCGGGTCCCAGTCAGTTGATGGCCGTTCGTTAAAGAGCGGTCGACACGGCGGAGTTGGGTGTTAACGGTGTCAGGCCTGATACTCCCGCCGGGTCGTTTTCTCCTAATGACCACCCAATCAATAGCCGTCTGCCCTCAGTACTGACCAATCACATTGACATCTCTTGCTGACACATTGAGCCAGTGGGAAGAGGAAGTTGCAGCTGTGCTGCAGGTCCACCACTTCTGTGAGTATACTGGAGGACATGTTAGTACCATAGTCACTGTCCCAAGAACAGCTTTATTAACAACACCTCTCAGCTAACTTGAAACTGGATCAGGACTACTTTTAGCTCACTCAGTTACATATCAGTTATGTTAGCATGGTAGTATCTCAACCACTGCATTACTATTTCATCCACTGATCTGCTGCTTTTAATTAATACTATATTTAAAAACTACTCATTACTTTTAGTAACCACTTTTATTAAGTCATAAGGGAAAAATGTCTACTCATTGCTTGAGATGAACTCAAGTAAAGTAAAGTAAATCTCCTTGTAGTTGTTTTGGTAGTATTCAGATTGTCGCCTGTAGTTTGCATAGAAGACACTGATTTATCTGCAAACACCTGCTACCTACAGAGTGGCAAAAGCGAACTTTGAGGACAACATTCTCTGTTCAAGACACGCTTTGGTAAATTTTAAATAAATTGTGAGAGCATGCAGAAAAATTTGCAAATCAGCATCTTTCATGTAAAGCAGAGGCGACTACGGCAATCTGCTGTCATGATCAAAAGGATCACGAGGAAGTTTTTGCCAGCAAGTCAGGGAATTTTCTTCCCTTGCGACCGGTGGCTGTCAGATAGTCACTGAGTGCTCTCATTAACTTAACAGGGTTGCACATCTGAAATGACTGACAAGTTATTGTCATGTGACTGAAAAATCTCAACAGATAAACTTGCAACAGATAAAACTGCAATTTAAACACTTAAAAATGGTGTGGATAAAGACAAGTATTAGGTAATCACAATGAGTAAACAGTTGAAAAAGCTAGCTAAACCGGCAATTTTGCCAAAATTATCAGTCAAAATGACGCTAACCCTAACTAACTTTAGCTTTAGCTAAATGTATCAAATAATTAAATAACTTTTGAGCAATATGAAAGCCCAAGAGTTTTAGCTATTTGCTAACTTTTTTTTTTACTTTTAGTTAGTTAGTTTTTCAGTTAATCTTTTATTTTTAGCTAGTGGTTGAATTTGCCTAACTGTAGTTTGACCTACAATAGTTTACAATAGCGTATCCATACCTTCAGCTTAATTTTTCTTGATAACCTTAGGCAACTGTTTCAACAGCACAATTTGATTTATCCATATAATTTCCAACTATGTATTCAATAGCAATTTTACTGCAAGTCCTAGCTTACTTTTACCTAATAATTTCTAACATTTTCCTCTTAACTTTAGCTAGCTTTTTTAGCAAACTGCTAAATTAGCATATCTGCACAGTTAGATAACAGTTTCCAGCTGTTTATCTGTACCTTAATCTAATAATTTCCAGGTTTTTATTATTAATTTTATCCCACTATTTCAGTCGTTTATCTAATATGTGAAACTAATCATTTCATTTGTTTGTTCATACAATTTCCAACTGTTTATTCACGCCTTAAGCTAGCAATTTCAGCTGCAAGTCAAAACTTAGTTTGATCAAATAGCTTTTTGGGTTGTTTATTGTGTATTATTGGCAACAGCTAATTTTGCATATTTATACTGTTAGAGAATCATTTTCAGCTGTTTACTGGTACCTATTAATTACTAATTTCTGAGTTTTTATACATTATTGTTAACCATTCAATTCAGCTGTTGAACTACATTTTAGCTGTTTGTATTTACTGTCATTTCATTTTGAACATTTCACAATAATGTTAGCTAATAATAATTCATTTAAACAGGTTACCTTTACCTATACTATTAATTCAAATACCACAAATATTTCATATTTTTTCTTTCAGTCTTTGTGTTTTTTCTGCTCAAAGCAAACATAAATATTTTTTTTCTTTATGTAATTATGTTTTTATTTATTTGTTCTTTTATTCAGATTAGACAGCTAATCCTTCCACGTGGAAACTGCAGAAGTACCCTACCACCAGTAGTTTTACCCAGTTTGGGAATCACTGGGTTATGTGATGTATTTAGACTTTTATATGAATTAACTTTTAACAGGCTACATTTAGAGTGCTTATGTTAAAGAGACTTAATTTGTTTCAATTGTAATCGTTTGTGTCAGACTGTAGTGATTACTAATGGCGCTTAGCCTCTTCTATTTGCAGAAACAGACTTCAAAATACTGCATTGGGCTTTTTTTTTTTCTCTTTTTTTGCTTCTGTGACAAATTCACCTGTGTCTCTGCTGGTGAACTTGTTTCTTTTTCCCTCTTTTCTCTTTTGGGGCGAGATATTTTTATCAGCTCCATGGGGTTTCTTTTTGTATTTCTGCCTCTCTCTCTCTCTCTATGCTCTTGTCAGCTTTTTGGCATTTTTTTTTTATTTGCAGATAAACCAAAACCAAAAATATTTATATCTAAATAAAACCAGGAGGTGTTTGAACGTAGCTGGCATTGTTCCCTGTGACACCTCAAATCACCAGCCCTTTCCTCAAACCCATCCATCTATCCGTCACTGCGTGCAGCATCACGGTTTTGTATGTTTGTTTAGAGTGAAGGGGCAGGAAATGGACGAGTTGTGGAGATGAAAGAGGATTCAGGCCACGTGGCAGCGCCTACACTGGAGCCTCAGTCCTCTGTGTCTGTCGCTGAGTCCCTCTGTCTGTCCATCTGTCCCTGCGCTCTCAAAGAGACGTTTATCCCACCACAAGGGTCATTCAGAACACACACACACACACACATATATACAGAGAAAAAAGAAAGAAAGAAGCACACCCTCTTCTGACTGGACAAATGGACACTCGGTGATGAGTGAGGCTCTTCAGGGCGCTTTAATCGTCCTGTCCAATGAAAGTAAAGAGCTTTGTTTTTAACCTAAAAGCTGACTAATGCCTAAGATACTTGTAGGACAAAACAGGCAGAGAGCACACCTTCTGTTGATCTGTTTTTATTGCACAGATTAAAGCAAAGAGACATTGCAAATACAGATTTTTGTGAGCTAAGAAAATAAGCATTTTTCCAGTGTTTCTTTTTTTTCTTTAATGGTTAATAACCCACATTTGAAGACGCATGTTTTCACTGTGACGACATTGTTATACATCAAATTGCTTTGTAGTACTTTCTGCAATCAAGATAGCTATCACTTTATCCGGCTCTGCTCCACAGCTTTGAAATGCTGCACAGACACAGCGAACAAATCAGCAATAAAATCGATTGTTTTTTCAATGGAGTTTGGAATTAAAACACTGCATGAAGAACAGGCACAAAAATCCCTTCGTGTACAGTGAAAAGTGCATTATCTGACATTACAGCACGGCTGCACAGCTTACAATACTTTGCTACTTGAGCTCATTCATAAAAGAAGAGAAGAAAAAAAAGCAGGAAAAAAATGATTCATATCAACACATTATGAGCGTTTCTGTCTTACTGTGAGCGCCGAACATCACATTCAACTTGACATGATGTTGAATAAATGGGAATCGTGTACATGATGTAGAAAATTTCCGGTTACATAAACTGATAAGTCCCACCTCAGCTCTACCGAAATGAAACGGTATATCTGAGAGGAGCTGGCGATGGAGTGTTTTCAGTAGATGTGACAATGTGACATCATGCTGAGGGGAAATGAGCAGGAGCAGAGATATATTCCCCCCAAAAAAATAAAAAATCTACCGGCTCTATCCCTGAGCTTTACTGACAAAAATGTCTTTAGGTGGTGAGGATTATGGATTAATCTATAATAACTAGTGAAGGGAAAGAGAAAGGAAGGAGAGAAAAAAAACAGTCTCTGGAGCCTCGAGTCTGAGATACTAGCACGAGAAATACTGCCTCATCATCTAATGTTCCCGCTAATATTCCCAAATTATATCGTTTAGACCTGTATCAGCGCTCCAGAATTAATCATCATTTCTTTGACACTGCCCATCCCCAGAGTTCATTAAATAAACTATTTCCCCTCCTCTAATTTCTACAAGTTGTGAAGTCATTTTTTTTTCTTTTCAGTCCCCTTCGCCCCCGCCCCCAACCCCTCCATTTCTTCATAATCTGTTTATCCGCAAGTGTCGCATTACATTTGCAAAGCAGCTGGGGGGACCACTGCCATCTTGTATGGAGGGGCTTCAGCGTGATTACCCGGCCTCGTATTTGGCGCGCACTCAGACTTGTCAAATCCTTTGATCTGAACTGTCTTCATAATCACTTCAAAAAGTCTTCCTGAGAGCGTGAGGGCTTTACAAATGGGCTTCCCACTTTCACAGGGCTACACTCGTACTGCCTCTCAGTCTCTCTGGTTGGGTGTGTGTGCTTCCATGTCTGCTTTAGCCTCTGCTTTTTTATTAGTGGGCTAGAAAAGCGTTGTGTTCATTCTTCTCCACCTTTATCGTGGAAAAAAGACAACTAAGCATCTTCTCCAACCTGCGCGTCATATTAAGCCATTATAATGTCACCAATTCAATTGGAGGTTTGATTTCAGCATTATGTCTAAAGTGGGACGAGTGCTAGGTCAGGTGCATCCAAAACTAGGGCACAGACTTCTTAAACAGTCTATTAGTACAGTTAACTGGGAATTGAGACATTATTTGTCGTAATGTTACTTTAAAATGTTTTCATGGTCAAAAAACCTGCTGGGTGACTCCTAGTGGCTCATTCTGCTCCCACCCTGTCAGTCAAAGTGGCCACACCCTCAATAAACCCTCAATAAATAGGCCTTATTATAACTTCAATTAAAGGTCACCTCCTGTACAGAGCTAAATCAGCATAAAGAGCAAAACTATTAATTGGACTGGGCTGTAAACATATTTATTTCTAATGTAAAGTTTGGCTGTTTAACGTGGGAGTCTATGGGGGTTGACTCACGTTTAGAGCCAGCCTCAAGTGGCCATTAGGGGAACTTTTTGCCACTGATGCTTGGCGTACAAACCCGTGCCTGTCAGAGATCTTTTATTTTTGTTATATCACACACAAAAGAGAATGAAAGGTTAGTTAACTGCCACAAATGGCATTTATATTAGCTAAAGATATGCATTATTAGCAGCATGTTTAAACCTAATATAAAGATGAAAATTTTAACTTGGGAGTCTCATGTTCAGATCCAGCCTCGAGTGTCCATTGGAGGAACTGCAGTCTCGGTATGCATCCATGCTAATAGTACAAATACAGCCAAGCTCCATAAGTATTATTTATAATGTGCTAAACAGTGGATAATATAGCAAATCATCAGCAAAACAGCACTCCCATTAAGTAAATGATTCAGGCAGGGATGTTCTGAGCAGAAGCCCTTCCTCCACTTGCAAACTTGCAACCGTCATTTGCTGCAGTTGCTGCAGTTACTGCAGTAAACGCCGTAATGACCCTTTAAACACCTTTAACTTCCACACAGTGAAAACACCTGTGTGGGTGGTGTGCACAGCCCTGCAATTAGGCCACAGCTTGTAGCCCTCCATCGCTTCAGTTTGACTGAGATTTATGTGTACGCCTATTGCTGCTTCTGTTTAGTCATATGCATATATTATATACAGTGTAATGTGAAGTCCCTGCCCCTCCCTCCTTGTGTTGGGGGGTTTACATATGTACTTCTTTTGTAGTTCATTATCTAAATAGCTGCACATTTCCTTCCTTCTTTCTCTGATATATCCGTCGGTCTACCGCTGGATTTTGGGGGGAAAAGCCTGAACTGATAGAGATAATGGTGGCCTTTAAGTATATTTTTAATAACCTGCCCCTGCTGTGCCACCTGAATGTCCCCTCTCTCCCTCACTCTACATGGATAGATGGATGGACGGAGGTGGAAGTGGTGACGGTGGCAGCAGCAGTGGCAGCAGTGGCGACAGGGGAGGTGAGGAGGTGTAAAAGGAGCACCCCCACCCTCCTTCATTCTGCGCTTCAACAATAGCATTTGCATATTTTTATACTCTGTCTTCCTCTCTCCCTCTCTCAAAGAAAACAGCCTGAAGCGTGAATACTCCAGCAGCAGGCGTGCAGAGGAAAACGGAAGCTGGGGAGACGACGTGTCCGCTTTCGCTGGGGGGAGAGAGAGAGAGAGACAGTGCAAGCACACACACACACACACACACAAACACACACACATGCAACCCTTACCTCCAGAGGTGTTGCATCAGGGGTGAGGATGAAGGGGGGGGACAGGGGGGCAAGGAGGGGTGACCAAAGTTTGGTGTGTGTGTTTGAGTATATATGAATGTGTGTGTGCACCAGGGGAGTGTGGCGCTCCTGAAAGAGACAAAGAAGAAAGCAGACATTAGAATCAGATGGACACACTGTAAAAAAATAAATACATAAATGCAAAGAAATTTATTAAATCAATTAATACTGAAGACAACAGAAAAAATGCAGTGAAATGAGCTAAGAAGAGCTGTTTCATTGTACTTCAGCTTTTTGATTTTGTGCTACTTTACACCAATTCTTCACTAAATTTCAAATATTATGATTTTACTCTGTGTTTTTTAACATATATTAATTTGAGTTACCTAAGTAATAAAGTAGTTTTAGAATATGATCCTCTCTTAAGAGCTAAACCCCCTAAAAGGTCATTTTCAGCAAGGTAGAAATGCTGCTTACACACTGATACATGGATAATAATTATTAGATTATATAATATAAAATAATCTAACACTTACAGGGGACATTTATTCACTGTGTGTGCTGTATTTTGAGAACTTTTTGACATCATTTGAGATGTGAATGCAACTGAGTGTTTTTTTTACAGTGTGGTACCGACATTTAATTATGTATCAGATATGAATTTATTGAATAAATAGTTTCATTTGTTTTATTTTTAATTAGTTTAACTTTTTTTTTCTTTTTTCAGTTCAGCTTAACTTTCAGATCAGGTTTTCTCCTTTTGGTGATTAAATGTTTTATTTCAAACATGTAAATATAAAAAATATATTGTACAATACACTGTAGGTCTCTTGTGAAGCAGAAAAGCAAATGACATAAGTTCTATTGTTCACAAATCATTAGTTTTAGTCTACTTTTTCATTTTTTATCCTATTGGCAATTTTTATCAGGGGAAAAACTTAAGAAATTAAAACAATCAACACTTTGTGAAGGCGGATGAACTTTAATTCAAACATCTGAGACTCAACAAAGAAATACATCAAAACCTGTATTGTTTTATTTTTGTTCCTTTCACATTAAAGTAGCTTTTATTTTAGTTCGCTACAATGTCTGTTTGTTTTTAACAATAAGTTTTGGTTTTCAGTTTGTGTTTTTTAACCATAATATGGTTACTTTTTAGTTGATTTTACACAGAAAACATTGAAAATAAAGTATTGCTAAGGACTAAAAGACTGAATTTCTTCCATATAATCTTTAATAATTTTATTCTATCTCATCTTTTGTGCGGCTCACTGTACAGTTTTCCAATATCTCATATTCAGCACATTCTTTGAGTCTTTTTCTCTGTATTTATCTGACGTCTTTTAGTGAGGTTGTGGGGGTTTTAAAAATGTGCTCCTACATTTTTTTTCTTTAAATTTAAGTTACCTGTTTAAATTTAAATACAACTTTATTTATTAAATTTTAAAGTTTTTCATAAAAAGGACTGTGACCTGAGCTGCTCTCCTCTGATTGGTCAGTGCCGGGAAACGCTTGATTGTTAGCACCTGATGTTGAGTGTCTATTTGTACAGATATACTGCTCAACTTTTGCTTTGTAATACAAGAAGATACAGACGTAATTAGATATTACAGTGTAAACTGATTTAATGTGGGGATACTTCATATCAAGGGGAAGGAAGGTATGTGTTGTAGCATTTGTGGATACTTTGTCTTTCTGTACTCTTCTTCTTCCCAGTGCTATGAATTCAGGTCTTTAACCTTCAGCCTGCCTGACGTTTAAACATATGTAAGTAGAAGATGAATCCAAAAATGCAGACTTTTACAGAAAACAGCTCTTTGTAACTCAAAAATAATAATTTTAGCAAATTCAAAATGCTTTTAGAAATCAGTACATCAGTTAGTAAATCATCGGCTTGTTTTTTGATCTCACATATGTAAATATTTTTTTTGTCTGTCTGTCCTTTCAGGTGAACGTTTAAAACACACTCCATCCAGGCTGAATTTCATCTTTGTTTTTAAGAAATGTATTTATTTTTATTTTTATTTTATCATTTAAAAACTTTACTCCATCAGTAAACTTACCCTTCAAAAGTAAAAAAGTAAATAAAGTTAATTGATAAAGCCACTTTCACAGACATAAAGTCACAAAGTGCTTTACAATCAAAACCCTGAAAAATACTGTCGTACCTCATTGCATGCTGTTGCCTATTTACTTCTATTCAGATAACAATTACTGAATTACTTTTAGGCTACTCGGCCGTACCTGTTTAGATAAATTTGTGCACCATCGGCTTCTTTTTTACATCAAAAACACAAACTAAATAATGCTTCAAACATTCAGGCACAATGACGAACAAGAAATGTGAAGATGGGTATTTGACAGCCACCCTGTCAATATTATAAACACAGTCTGCAGTCTTCACATCACACAGTGCCACCCAGTAAACATCTAGCTCAAGGTAAACATTCTTGTCCCCAACAATAAAAGTAAACTGCTCTAAAGTCTAACAGGAGACGCCTCTTCTCCTTAAAAAATTAAAGAAAAGGCTTCTTAGAAGTAAGCAGTCCGTTACAAAAGATTAATTGTTGAGCTAATTCTGTGATTCTTAAACTTTCTTTCTGGCAAACAGAAAACAGTTGACGCCCCACACCATCAGAAAAAAACAAACAAAGGATCTCCAAAAAGATTTTCCACCACTGAAAAAAAAAAAAGAACAATTTTTGCCATCCAAAAGTCAAAGTCTGGGGTTATTATCTCAAAATTTCAACTCGCTAACTCAACTTCAGAACTTTGGAGAAACTAATTAAAGAATTTGAGGTAGTAATGTGAAATTTTGAGTCATTAAGTCAAATTGTTAGATAATAACCCAAGATTTTGACTGATAAGTGGCAAAAAAAAAAAAAAAAAACACATTTCAGCTGCTGTGTTTCATACGGAGCCCCCCAGGGGACATTGGCAAAAAAAAAAAAAAAAACACATTTCAGTTGCAGAAGCAAGCTTTTAATCTGGACTTCAGTTGACTTTCAGTAATAAATAAATATCTGAAGGTGCTCACGCTGTGGGGTGGGCACCTTCAGTCCTTCCAGAATCAGTTGGGATCTTTCTTCATTCCCACTAACTTTGAGATTATTTTGTGTACTTCTTCTTTTCAGTCTTATGTGGGGATGTTTCTGGAAATGTATCCACTCGATAATACTTGTGCGATTTTTTTTTTTTTTTTTTTTCCCCCAGTTCTGGCTCCTCTAAACACACCAAAAGCACCTCTCGTGTCAGTTTTAAGGCCTGAAGTGTCACTCTGTGGCATCTTCCTGTGTTTTCTATTTCTAGTTTAATCTCTGCAAACGTGACTCGCTTGTGCTGCCTGGTCTATAATATAAGTTTACAAACACCACTCCATACTTTGTGTTGTCAGCTCTTTCCTGGAAACATGTTTGATTTTAAAGAACTACTGGGCATCTCGATGTGGCTAAGGAGCTCGACAGAAAATAAAATGTATGTAAAAGAACAAAACAGTGCCACCTACGCAGTTTGATTGGCAGGTTGTTTCTGGAAAGTGCAGCACAGAGATGCAGCAGAACTGCGAGCCATGAATGATGGAAATGAAGCAGAGATGAATACACTTCCCCCTGGTTCTCACCAAAGCTGCTTTATTGTCAGTGGCATTCTCTTAATTTAAGTCCAACTGGCTTGTACTTGCAGGGTATAAGGAAAAAAAGGCCGGGATCAGCCACTGAATCAAATATTTTGCATACAAATGGCATTTAGAAATGAGAGGATGGATCTGAGGTGTGACACGGGCTCCTGTGGGTGCAGTTTTATCTGCATTGAAGACTCTGAGCGGCGTTACGTAACAGTGTTGTTCAGAGGTGTCGCTGGAGGCAGAGGAGGGCACACAGGTTGGATGAATATAGGTTAAAGTGGAGTTCGAGAGAGGTTTACGACATATACATCACCCATAGCGGGAAATCTAAATGCAGGGCGATGTGTTCCACTAGCAATCTGATACCAAGTAAATACAGGTCCAATACTGCTGAGACCAATACTGATACCGATACTTTGATCCTATTAAGGCAGGTTACGTATGGGAGAGCAGTGTGTCATAATGAATTTTTCACAATTCAGTTGGCTATGTTCTTAACTTCCCAGTAATCGCTCCAGTATCGATCTAATACCGATACCAGCATCAGTATCGATACTTGCATCGATCAGCCTACATCTAGCGTCCACCTCACACCTACAACATGAAGGTTTCAGTCTCGAGAGATGCAGATGTACTTTCATTTCAAATGACACTTTGCTTTACCTGACGCTCAGACAAAGAAGCAGGAAAACCTCAAGCTTTCTGTCATTTCTTCTGTTTTGACAGTGAAGACATCTTCAGTGGCAATATATAGTAATATGAGCACATGTGATGCCATATGTTGTGAAAAAGGTGGTTTTTGACCTAAATTGATGACACTTGACACGCTGAAGTTAACACTACCTTTCAGTCTGTGTGAAAACTATTTCTAATCAGAGCTGAAACTCCCCGAACAACAGATCTAACTTGTTTCTGCTTGGCTAAAAGCAAACCATGCTATTCTGTTATTCATTTTTTCTTTTGGGGGGTAAAGGGGAAAAAAAGTCTCCTGCACAGCAAATAGAGAGTCTCATATTCAATACACATGTTCACACGCAGCCGACATCACTTCCTGGAACGACAAACTGACAGTGCACGACCAAAAGCCTAGAGCTGAGAGGGATATTTGACTTGACAGTCCATGCTGAGGCAATTTTCCAATGTGGTTGAGCAACAAAGTTCTATTGTGCTTTGCTCTGTGCTGCATTGTTTAATTCTCCTCTAATTACTCATCATTTATACAGCCTAAAGATCCCCACTCAAGGTAAGCTAAATTAAAAAACAAGCTCTGAAATGAAAACAGACTAAAGACTCTAGCGGGATAAAACCGAGTATAACCTCCTTTCTCTCCAGTTCAGTGACATGCAGTATTTCCCAGCCTGGTTTGCAGCCCGCACGAAGGCCTGCTGGTGAGTAATGTGTGATGGGTGTGAGCTCAGAGGGGTCGGCGGCCAGCGTGCAATCTCCTCAAAGCCGCTTTTGTGGTGCTGCTGGCTTGAACGCTCACTCCAGGCTATGGACAAAGAAG